GCAAGGATCGAAACGCGTCTTGAGAGCTTCATTTCCTTAATAGATTGCACACCCACACCCACACCCACACCCACACCCACACCCACACCCACACCCACACCCACACCCCACCCCACCCACACCCACACCCACACCCACACCCACACCCACACCCACACCCTCATGCCACGATTTTTATAGCTCAGCAATCGAGTAAGTTGAAATAATTAATTTAAATCGAGTAAATTGTGGCATAAAATCGATCGAAATCGACTATTTTCCACGAAAAATTGAATATCATTGAATTTTAATCGATTATATGCAACAATTTACTCGGTTTAAATTAATTATTTCAACTTAATCGATCACCAAGCTACGAAAATCGTGGCATTTAAATCGATTTCTCATAGGATTTTTCAAAAAAAAATCATTTTCACCGCTTTTTTACATGGGTAATAGCTCTTAATGACGTCCATAATTGACGATCTTTCTTTCAGCTAGTACACTTCTTCAAAACCTTTTGTGGTCATTACATGAATCTCTATTAGCTGTTCATTAGTCATTTTTTAGCTAAAAGACTCATGGCAATTAACCACATTGAATTTGATATTGAAAGAAGCGCGTCACATAATTCCATCTCGCATGATTATTAAAATAAACATTTTAGCTTAAACATGAACTCTTTCGATGAAAATAACGTTATACGGTGATTTCTTCCATTTAGTGTTCCACATAGTAAAAGATTTTGAAACCTATGCATTCCAAGCACTATTTTCGTCATATCTGATCCAACGTTAATTTTCATGAGCTCATTTTTTAGCTGATGCTTTTCTTTTAAATCTGCATCTGCCACGAATTTTACCAACGCCATATAACTTCTGCACAATCGATACCGTAATCCTTCAAGCCGTTATTAAATACATAAAAAACACTGAATATCTAATATCCATCTTCTTCGACTCATCGAAAGCGAAATACATATGGACATGTCTTATATACATCTCTGAAAAATTTTGAAAATTATACAGGGAAAGTAAATATCTGATATCTGCTTTCTGCTCATATTTTTGAAATTATAGCTACTATATGAGACTTCATATGTTAAATTCAAAAATTTTGAAGTTTCATATTGAAAGTAAATATCTGATTTCTGCTGGGATTTCTGAATAAAACAGATATGTATGTGTCTTGTATGGACACCATAGTCAAAATTTGAAAATTGTATAAAGAAGTAAATATCTGATATCTGATTTCTGCTGAGCTTTTTAAAACTATAGCTGTTATATTAGACTCCACGTACTATATTTAAACAAGAATTTTCAAATTTCGTAGTGAAAGTAAATATCTGATATCTAATTTCTGCTGATATTTTTGAAATTATAGTTACTATATGAGGCTTCATATACTACAGCTAAACAGAATTCTCCAAATTTTGTAATGAAAGTAAATATCTGATATCTGCTAGGACTACTGAACGAAGAAAATATGTGTATGTCTTATATGGACTCCATAGTCAAAGTTTGAAAACTATACAGAGAAGTAAATATCTGATATCTGATTTCTGATAATATTTTTAAAATTATACCTACTATATGAAACTTCATATGTTATATTCAAATAAAAACTTTCAAATTTCATATCTGAAAGTAAATATCTGATATCTGCTTTTTAATGCTGTTCCTGAAGGCTATATTAAAGTAAATATCTGATTTTCTTCCTAAAAATCAGATATCAGCGATCAGATATTTAGTAGAAATTGGTACCAGTTTGAGATTTGCCATGACCTCACAGATAGATGATGATCATCTATTAATTCAACTTTATCTAGATGATATTAGTCTCACAAATCCTTTAGGATCAAAACGCGATCGTCACAAGATGTCTATGATATGTTTTATGTTGGAAGATATACCAGATCAATATCGATCAAAACTCGATTTCATACAGTTAGTGGCTATTTGCGAAAGTAGAATTTTAAAGGTAAAAATCACATAAAAATTTTCAAGGCAAATAACTGTTTGTAAACAAGAGAAGTTTTTCTCCGATTTCAAAATTAATTAAACGCGTTTTTATTTTCTATGAATCTTTTTTCACTTGATTTTCTTGAAAAATTATAAATTTCTCTGGTCTTTTATTTGTATTTATGATACTATAGAAGATCTATACTTGATAAAGCTCACTTAAAAACGACGAATACATACAATGAGAAATTAGTAATATGTTGAGTTTTCTATTTTTTTTTGAGGATAATATTAAATCCAAGCGCTTTTTTCAACCAATTATTGAAAATTTAAATTATTTACAATTGAATGGTCTAATGATTAATGGTGTTAGATTTAAGTTTACATTTTCAACTGTTGTTGGCGACAATCTGGCGGCGAACTGGTTAGGGGGATTCCAATGTTGTTTCAATACCGGATACTTTTGTAGACGCTGTTTGATCAACTATTCAGACAAGAACTTACCAACTCCATTATCACAAATAAAATCTCGAACAATGAGCGATCATGATTTATTAGTAGAAGAGATTTTCAATGATCCAAATAAATCTTCTTCTATGGGAGTAGTCGACCGAAGTCCATTACACAATCTAATTGGCTTTCATGCGACCATTTCTTTACCTGGAGATTGTATGCACGACTTCTTGGAGGGCATGTACCCGATAGTGATGATGTCTATATTAAAACAAGCCTCATTAATGCGCCTGACAACGTATGGTGAGAGAAGAATTATTTATTTGAGATTGTCTTACATCTGTCGGAATCGTTTCTGAATTTTTTATAACTAAATTTTCTATCGACTGGTTCTATAACTAAATTTTATATCGACTGATTTATAACTAAATTTTATATGGACTGGTTTTATAATCAAGTGTTATACCGACTGATTTTATAACTGAATTTTATATCAATTCAAGATTAGTACTTAATTTTTGTACCATTACATCATATTATAAATGAGAAAGTTAATGATATATTAATTGAAATATACATATTCTTTATCAAACTTGTAGCAGAATCACATAATCCTGTTTGACTGTTTGCTCTAGTTCTCTGAAATGCAGCTCGATAATCGTCAACGATGAGTTTTGATTATTAAAATATATCATTTTTTTCACCTTTCAAGCTCGGATTCATGAACGAATGCTCAATTTTCCTTACGGATATTTTGACCCCAGTAACCGACCACCACCAATACAAATTAAACATTTACCAAATGAACGTATTATTGCGACCGCAACTGAAAAATTATGTCTTTTTAAACTTTTTCCATTAATATTCCATGAGATTATTGATAAATTACCATCATTTACTGTTTATAAAATCCTATGCGAAATACTCGATTTAGTTTTTTCAAACCCATTTCGCAAAAAATGGTTGCCCATTCTTAACGAATTATGTGATGCATTTCATGACGCCATGTTATTATACTTTCCAGACAAAATTATACCCAAAAGTCACTTTATTAGAGAATATGGAAAGATTATGCACGATTTTGGTCCTGTTACACGTTACTGGTGCATGCGTTATGAAGCATCACATGTCTATTTTAAAAAACTAGCAGCACGTACAAATAACTTTAAAAATACTCCTAAAATGCTTACCACTCATTTCCGTCTTAAACAATGCTTCAAATTCACTCATTTCTCTCAAATGAAAAATTTATATTACTCAGTCGGTATGAAGAAAATTCAATCTTCATCTTTCAATGTGTCAATGAAAAACGTTTTATTCGATCATTTTGGTTGTATTGACTTTAATAATGATGTTTTACAATGTAAAAAATTAATCAACGAAAATATCGAATATTATAAATCAGCTGTGTATGTAATTCACCTAAGAGATGATAGTGAACAGCCAATATTTGCGCAAATAGTGTTTATTATTAAAGTAAAAGAAAAATGGTGGTTATTGGTCGATCTACTTAACACTGTGTGTTTTGACGAGGATCTATTCGCTTGGGAAGTAAAATCGGTCGATTGCTATTCTGTTTTAAATCCATGTGAATTACGATATTATTGTAAAGGGTTGGATATCTATCACTTGAAGAATTCAAGTTTTGTTTCATTTACTAGTCGCCTAACATTGTATTAGTGGAAATGAGAGATCGATATTGTTTTAGAACTAAAATCTTACTATAATTTTATATGGTTTTGTCGTGAAAGTCTAAATCTTTTTTATTTTATTTGTCTTGCATTTTGTATCGTAAATCTTATGATTATAGTAAAAGAATATATATCTTGATTATCACAAAGATTGTATTTTATATTGATTTCTAACTTTTGATTGTAGATACGGCATTCTTTAGCCTATAAATTTGACAAATAATATCTTTTAGATGATTTATCCTCATGATAATAGTGAAAATAAAATGATCAAAATTTATTTTCTAACATAGTATATGATCTAGTTTTAGACTCTAGATTTGAAATAGCATCCGTTTGACAGAAATAGTTGTGATTTTTTTTTATGTGATGCATATCCAATTTTCTATCTTCGTTTTCTATATCTGTTAGAAAAAAATCTCTATTCTATCTTTCTAAATTTGTTATTCAAGGTTTTGATACAGATGGAAACATAACACTATCAAAATACAACTATTATTCATTTACTTTCTAGAGTATGAAATTGATGGTCTAACATTAAAAATAATGAATAATGTCGAAAGAACTTCATTGATTATACCAAAGTTTAAACAGCAATTGATCTTTTTAGAAGAACGAGAGAAATTATTTAAACAAAATAATGATATTTTAATTGAATGTAATATTTCCTCATCATTTATTCCACCCAATGCTCAATCATCCTCAATTATTGCAACAAATTCTCAATTATCGCCTGATTGTTTACCAAAATCACCTAATAATAATTCAACATCTGATCAGTTTAACAATTCAACATTTAATCAATTTAATAATTCAGCATCTGATCAGTTTAATGATAGTTCAAATATTGATGTATTATTTCCTGATGAATATAGTGTTCCATCATTACCAAGTAGTTTGATTAAAGACATTGAAGATGGAGCTTTACACAAGTTTGGTCCACACTATTCAAATCGTCAAATTCTCATTGACGCAATTAGTTATGATCTGATCGAGAACTATAAACTATTGTAAGTCGTACTCTAAAATAAACTGCATAGGTTTCTGGCGAGAACATAGGTGTACATGTTATTCATTTTTCTGACGTATTAAAAATAATCCTTCACATTATTTTTTTGTAGATAAATTATCAGAAACTCACAACATATGCTTCCTTTGCTGACGTTAGTTTTCTCTACACTGTAAAACTTTTATTGATTTCACCGTTTTATTTCATTGGCTTACAGGTTGTCATCGAGTGTATTTTATGTGATTGATAATTTCTTTTTTAAGAGTTGTTACAAAATAATTACTTGTTCAATTATTTTTTCAAAGCATATGTAAGGATCATTTATGTTAATAGTTAAATCGATTATTTAAATGAAATAATTTCATGAATTCTTATGTTCATTTCTAAGATGTATTCTATTTCTAAATGAAAGTATTTATATCAAACTATATATTAGTGTTATAGTGTCATTGAGATATATGTATTTTCTTTCTTTCTCTGCTTTCTCTTCTAGTATAGATGACATAAACGATACATATATATATCATGTATGTCGTCTATACGAGAAGAGAAAGAGAAGAGAAAGAAAAAGAAATATATCTCAATGATATTATAACCATTAGTTTTCAGCAAAAGCTTTTACAAGTCGAAGAACTTTATTCCTAATTCTTTTCTTAAACTTTCTTTTTATTTGTATTTAGTTATCCATCATCTACACAATTTGATATTATTGGTCATGCAATCGTCAAGATTCTAAAATTACCTCCAACAAAAAATAATATTGTAAGATCATTCATCAGCTTTAATTGAAATTATCTGTCTGTTCGTATAGAGTATCTGGAAAGATGCACTACAAACTAAATTGAAAAGAAAACGTACTGAAAATTTGGAGAATGTTATTGTTCAAAATTATCGTTTAGAATATTCGTATGCAGGATCAGGACGTCCTGTAAAACGAAGATTCAATGAATTAGCAAAGACAGATCGACATATACAGGTAAATTGAAACTTAATACTTTGTTATTTTTTACATTTGTTTTCTAGATGTTAATTTTACCTAACAACGATGAAAAACCAGATGATATTGTTGCAAAAGTAAATCAACTACGAAACATGTCTCAAACTGATGTACTTACTCAATTAAAACTATGGAAAGAAACTTTACATTCTCGTCGGCAATCGATCAAAGATCATTCAACAGAAGATATTATTAAAGATTTTCCAGGTTATTCCAATTCATTACTGGTAAATTAATTTATTTTTCTTTAATTTATTGTACTGAACGAGCTTATTATTTTCATAGATATTTGAAGAAGTCAAGTTGTTAACAAAAATTGATTTACCTACAGCTGTACGACGACAAATACCCGAGCTGCTCAATAAAATGCTTTCAGTACCTTTATTCATAACTGGTAGATAAATAAATTTAGTTTTATTATATAAAATTACATTTGAGTTTTAGAATCACCACCGATTCGACTGATAAAAATTTTATGTAAAGAATTTCGTGAACCAGTTCAACATCTATTTGCAAATGATGTAAGTTTGTTTATATTATTTAGAATCGATCTTTTAGCTGATTTATTTCGACCATTTGAGTAGTAGAAGCTCTTAGGTTAATTTGAGTTAATGAATATCAATGAATAAATGATTCATATATGAATATATGACCAATAGTAGATAGATATACAGATCATCATATTTAAAATTAGAAGAATTGTAATGGATATTCGTTCTATCCAACAGTATCATCTCGATGATTCATTTATTTTTAACACAATATTTAATTATTTAAGCAATTTCTTATATTGAAAATACCACAAAGATTATTTTATTTAGGAACCTTCATCACCATATCCTATGTTGGTCTGCATCAATAATGTTATTCATATTTATGTGGATTTTATCTCTATTCTCTCGACAACTTATGTTGATGATGCATTTGCACTTCTTATTGCTATGTATACAATATTTGGTTTAACATTTGATAGAAAAAGTCGTGTTGTTAGACTTCTGTATTCAGTATTACATGGTGAAACTAAATATTTAACCAATTCTGTTCGTATCTTTATCAAAGAAAAAAATATAGACATTTATGCTGAACAGCAACATCAGCTGAAGCAACATCAATCCGTACTAAATTCTTCATCAAATGATTCAACAGAACTTATAGATGAATCTCAACCACAATCACAATTACAAATAATTTCACCAAGTGCTTCTTCGACTAAAATTAATTCTCTTGCTACTGATCAATCAACAGAAACACAATCTACTAATGATAATCCTGATTCTATTTTAAATACATCATTTGATATGAACGAGTAAGCTGTGGTTTCTTAATTTATTTATGTCATAATATTAACTATTTTATTTCGTATAGAAATAACAACAACCATATTCAAATCTCATCACCACCATCACCACCATTATCAAACATGAGTTCACAAAAGCAAATACAACCACGAAAAGGACGAAAAAGAAACTTAAGCATTAATAATAAAAAATCTCTACACTTGACTACTGATGAAACAAATGATCATTCACTTAAAACTGCAAATTCTGTTCCATTAGAAGATCTTACTAATTCAATAAGTACATCACGACCAAAACGAACAAAAAGATTATAAATTATATTCGTTCATTTCAATTGTTTAAACATTCGAATTTTTTTTAATTTATTTGCTACAACAAATGGTGTCATTTCAAAATGTATTTTTTATATTATTAATTTGTTCTTCGTCTGTAGTAATCATTTATTCTTTTATATAAGTCCTAGTTAATCGTTGAGATATTCATTTCTTCTAAATTAAATCTTTTTTTACCAGTAAGCTTGAGAAAAATAATTATATCGATGACTTCATATGTACATCTAAAACATTTAAAATGTAATTCTTTTTGTTATTAATTTCTTCTTCATCTACATTTATCATTTTGTTCTTTTATATAAAGCCTAGTTAATCGTTAAGATATTCAACTCTTCTAAATTAAATCTTTTTTTTATTGTTAAATTTGATAAAAATAATCATATCGATGATTTTATATAAACGTGTAAAGCATTTCAAAATGTATTTTTTCTGTAATTGATTTCTTCTTCATCTTTCGTGATCGTTTATTCTTTTATATAAAACCTAGTCAACTATAAAGATAGTCAATTCTTCGAAATAAAATCCTTTTTTATTATCAAATTTGAGAAAAATAAATATCGATGACTTTATATGAATATCTAAATCAGTTCAAAATGTATTTTCTTTTTCTATTGTTTATTTCTTCTTAATCTCATTCATCATCTATTCTTTTATATAAAACTTAGTGGATCATAAAGATATTCAATTCACCAGAATTAAATTTTTTTTAATCATCATATTTGAGAAAAATAATCATATCGTTAATTTTATAAATACACCTAATGCATTTTGTTTTTCTATTATTAATTCTTTCTTCATCTTTCGTGATCGTTTATTCTTCTATATAAAATCTAGTTAATGATAGAGATAGTCAATTCTTCTAAATCAAATCTTTTTTTTATCATCATACTTGATAAAAATAATCATATCGATAATTTTACATGTATATCTAAAGCATTTAAAATGTGATTTTTTCTGTTATGAATTTCTTCGTCAATTACATTTGTCATTTTTTCTTTTATATAAATCCAAGTTAACCGTTAAGATATTTAATTCTTCTATATTAAACTTGTTTTTACTAGTAAGTTTGAGAAAAATAATTATATCGATCACTTCATGTGTACATCTAAAACATTTAAAATGTGATTTTTCCTGTTACAAATTTCTTCTTCATCTACATTTATCACGGTGTTCTTTAATATAAAGCCTAGTTAACTGTAGACATATTCAATTCTTCTAAATCGAATCTTTTTTATATCGTGAAATTTGAGAAAAATAATCATGTCGATGATTTTATATCTACATCTAAAGGAAAACTTTCAGTTACTGTGTACTTTCATCTCTTCTTTCTGCTTTAAAGAAATCTTCATATTCCAACAAAATCATTCATTGGCAAATATACTATTCAAGAAATTCTTTTCGATTTCTTTCTTTTACCTAAGTGAGTATCCATCTTTCTTGAAGTAATATATGAAATGAATATTCATTTTTCCTTCTAGTTTCTTTCAACAACCGATTCAATTAATTATCCATCGGCTTGCAGTAAATGAATGTAATTTATTACTGATATATTCTATCACAATATGTAAAAACTTTCAAGTTAATCTTTTGTTGACAAATCGAATTTGTTATTTATTTATCATCTTTTTTTACTTCAATTATTATCTCAATTTAATCAAAGGTATGTATTGACTAATATAAACTTCGATTTATTTCTTATTCTCCTTTTTACTGATTAGTTTCTGACTTCCATCAGTTTGGTCTTAAATGAAAACAATAGACTGTTCATCCATATAAAAATAGTCGAAATAGTTAGGAAACAAATCCAGAAAGAAGACAAACAGACATTTTTTGATTATCTCTTCTCTTTCTTGTGTCAAATAGTCATTTACTTTCATTATTTATCTTTTCAATTCCTTTTCTCATTTCTCGATCAATTATATTCGCTTTATTTCTCGAACTAAATTAGCGGTAATAGACGTAAAATTTCAATACAATCTGTTGCTAAATATTTAGATTTGCGTTGACGTTATTTGACTCCACAGACGTTTGTCACAAATATAACTTATTTTCAAATTTATTAACAAGCATAAGGACGTCAGAATAATATACAGGTAATGTGTGACAAAGGTAATTTATTTCTTACATACTATGATCCACTTTCACCACTTCTATCTTTAAAATTACTTAATAAACAAATTAATATATCAGTAACTTGTAACATAACTAATAATTCTCTTCTAAATTTAGATGCAAAATAATCACAAGTAAATATCTCTGGATGTTAATTTGGAATATTGATCATTTTAGAGTATTCAACTATTCTTCAACAAAGAATCATCAGGTAAATAATATTTTATATCATTACTTGATTTTCTTACGTATTAAGGTACACAATAGTGTCAGATCAATGCATAATTGATATACAATGAAATTTATTGGTACGACACATACAAAAGTTTTCAAAACCGACGATAAATCTGTAAGTGCAGCGCTTCAAAAACCTAATTATTCTCTAGTATATTTAGATTTACTTCAATAACAAAATCATCATCAAAATTATGTGTAATGTACTTCGTATCATGTATGTTTAAATCTATCTGGCAAATACATCAATTTGTAAGTATGATCTTCAACCAAATAAACTCGTTTATTCCACATCTAGGTTCTCAATACGACGACATATTCTAGATTTATTGCGAATTCTTGTTCAACTGATGGAACTAATCAACTGGTTGAACAACCACCTGATGAACCTTGAATCGGTTGTTGGAACTGATGAACTAGTTGAACAATCTTTTGAAATACCTCTAGTCAATTGACTGAACTGATCAACTAGTTGAATAATCTCCTGATGAACTCTTGTGTGGTTGATAACCTCAATCTACCTTTGCATTGTCCCAACGAGAGGCAATACACAAGTATTTTACTGTTATGTACCCTTGAATAAACGGATATTTCTATTGAAATTAGTTGGTTTTTGAATTTTATCTACCCTTTCGGCAGGTTGACTACGATGCAACGGATAACATACCTTTTATCCATTTTTCAATGGTATAAATGCTGTGATAAACGATTGCCTAAACGGTATCTTTAATCGATAAACCCTTTTTTCTCACCATTTTAACGGGTACATAAAATGGTTTATTCCATGGTGATAAATGGTAACAAAGGGTATTTTATCCGTTGCATTCTGATAAACATTTTAAAGGTTTATCATTCTCCGAATTTTTTTTCAGTGTAGTACCATAGTTCTAATAATTCGTTCCATCCTACAGATGTAAAAATGATTCAAGTCAAGAGCAAACGACGTTTGAAATTTTTTGTTTATTCGATACAAACGAGACAACTCACCCTTCTTGAGTTTTAATTCATTGATTAACATTTGCTCGTAGCATAAATCAATAGCCCGTCGATGATGTTGATGCGTCGACGGGACTTTGAACCGCACGAATTTTGGTATTAGCTTTTCACGTTTGCATATTTTTAAAAAATCCAAGTCCAGCCTAGTCTTTGACATCTTCAGTTGGTGCTTGCCATATAAAAATGCATTTTTTGCAATAGCTGACCCATATTGCTGCCTTATTAAATGAATATAATTACATTTTTTAATGGGTATCAATTTGAGTAAAAATCGTATGAGGTTAACAGCAGCTTTAAATTTATTTTTCATTATTTAATTTAAATATTAATTTTGAAAAAAATCAATAAAAATTTAATGAATTTGATTCAACAGTAATTTATTTTTTTAATAAATATAAATTACAAAAAAAAGATTTTGTCAACGTTTCGAAGGTTAATCCTTCATTATCAAGACAAGATGTTAAGTGAATCACAAAGAAAAAAAGAAAAAGAAAGAAAAAAAATCATCTGTTCTATATTCCAATTGGAAATTGTATTCAGCCCTCGCCGATGATGTGAATATCTTACCATTTCTTATAACTGTCCTTTCACTCCTGTTAAAGGTATCGATGATAACTTTCAATTAGAACGTAAAACTGATCACTTGTTTCTTTCTCGATTCGTGCATCATCAGTACATCTATCAGATATAGATAATCATAAATATCATACTCCTTGTAAAAGTATGTAAAAATAAAAAAATAATCTTTAACGAAATTCCAATGAACAATTATCCGACAATTGAATCACTTAAATCGATCTATCCCCAATTTATAGTTTATGAAGAACAACATAATTAGATAAACGAAAGAATATTTTAAAAAATAAATCGAATTTCCAACTGAATAAGAACCAAAATAATAATATTAATATTATACCACCAGAAATTATTTCAGATATTGAACTATCTGTCATTTCACATTATAAAATTGGTCATCTGTTGACAAAACGCAATCCAAAGATAATTTCTTTTATTAAGTCAATTTCCAAAAAGAAGATATCCACTACCACCAATACTCAATTGAATAATACTTCAGTGAATAACCTAAATACAACAACAAATAATAATAAAACAGATGTAGTAAATAGTAATTTAAATTCTAATACAAATATGACACTTAATAAGTTTTCATTTAAAAATTTAATACATAACTCGGATAAGAAATGAATTGTGAAGTCACCCTGGTCAATCACGCCCGACCGGATTCCGTCGTTTCCGTATAATTCCGATCGGAACACGTCGAAATTTCACCAGAATCCTAACTAACGGATTCTACAGGATCCGTCGAAAATCCGACCGAGTTCTGTCGGATTGTAACGGATTCCGACGAAATCCGAACCGGAATCCGTTAGTTAGCATTGTTTCTCCTGGGCATATATTAATTCACATGAAGATAATCATAACAAATCTACAGCTGAGTCTAAAAATAAAATATCTTTCAATTTAAAAAGTAATTCAGATGAAGTTAATCATATTGAACTTTCACTGAAATCTAATAATGAATCTACAGTTGACTCTAAAAGTATAATATCGTCCAATATAAGAATTGATTCAGACAAAGATACTCAATCTAAAACTAACAATGATAATTATAATACAGTTACACTTAAATTTGAAAAAGATAATTATATTGAATCTACAATTGAAAGTAATACAGATAATCATAATGAATCTACATCTAAATCTAAAAGTAAAGATAATTATAATGAAGTTACATCTAAATCTATAAGTTGTAATGAAGTTAGATCTAAATCTAAAAGGAAAATATCTTCGAGTTTAAACATTAATTCAGATGAAGATAATTATAATGAATTTACATCAAAATCTAAAAATAAAAACAAGTAACGCGTGTCGGAGCGACTCGCTTGACCTTCGACTGTGTGTTTGTACGTGTAAATGCTGCTTTGTTTATAAACACAATTGTGCTATTATTAAAAGTATGCACGTATATGTGTTTAAATATGAATTGATTTGACTATAATAGGGTAGTTAGGATAGTTGGATTCGAGTTATCGTGGTTTCATATATAAAATCATCATTCTTATCTACAAATTAGTAAAACATGCTGCTTTCAAAGTTAATGTTGTAGAAATCTCTTGTATATGTCTTGATAGTGAAAACTATTATAGGTTTGCTTTTTTCTTATGAATATCACGAAACGAGATAGATTTTAATAGATAATGTTATAATGAAAATTAAGCGTGGTTGATAAGAAGTGCATGACCTTCCGAATTCGTACAGCAGCACGGAAATTAGTATTATGTCGAGACAACAATAGAGAAAACTACGTTTTATACTATTGCATATCGATATCTATGCTTGAATAAATAGAATGTAGCCTGAACAGAACAATCCTATACCGTGATGTATTATGGAAAAAATGTTCACTGTTATCAATTATGATTACACTTTTACTGACTATCATTGTAGATAGATCTGTAACATGTCGCAGTTTGTACTATGGTATCGAATTATTTGACAAATACTAAGATTCTATGATATGACTAATAATATTTTATTTTATTTACAAAAAATTTCATGCATAATAAGATAATACAAATATATTGAATGTGTGATTAAAACAAACAAAAAACAGACGGATGTGAAAAGGAAAATGCATCTATAACCGGCAAATATCTTTTCACACTATCAACTAGAAAAGGATTACAACGCTACTATAAAAGCGATACTAATACAAAAAAATACATTGAAGATTTCAGTAAAAAAAACATAATATGCAAAACAATTGATAGCAACTAACATGCATTTCTATATAATAAAGAAAAATTATTGAAAATACTCAGCAAATCGAAATCGGGTATCGATATACAATTTATCAAGTCTTTCAATTTCAGCAACTTGCGATTTACTTGGTTTGATTCGTAGAACTTCGTAATCGAAAGGCCGTAAAATAGCTACATCAATCAAACGTTTTAAACGTGATAGCGGTACATATACAGCGACAATATCTTCAGTTTCATTCGGCAGTTTAAGGTCAATCACGGCTTTACTCAAAGTTTGACCTTGACTCTTATGTGTTGTAATACAATAAGCAGGTACAAGTGGTAGTGCACGTCGTTTAATTGACAACATTGCTTTCTGGTTCGATTTTGGCTTTTTATTTTTTGGAAGCATCTCAGTAACGTCAAAACGAAACGTTTGTTCCATTAACGGTACTGGGACGAGTTTCGGTTGAAGTGTTTCAAGGTTACATTCAATTTTTGATATAGCAATTTCAATTAATGCATATAAAGGTCGATGCACGTACTGTGTGTTGCTCGGAAATGTGTTAGATAGAGCATCTATTGATACAGAATCAGCCTTGTAGACTAATTGTCGAAATATTCCATTTATGCCGTTAATAAGACCCAGTTCAATAGCAAGATTTTGCGTGAAAATAACTGGCATCCCAGGAACAAATGGCAACAAACCGGGTAAGTGTTCCGTCTTGCTGTCAGATAATTCCAATAATTTTTTCATAAGTATAGGATCTTCAATTAGTTTTCCTTTGCATGTATCTTGAGCGACACATACCATTGGCTGAAGACCTAGTTGTGCTGCATTATGAGCTGCTGCTTTGTTGTTTAATTGTGTTCGTACTTCATTTCGATATGCCAAAATGGGAGCCTAAACATCAAAACGATGAAAAATTATTTTAAAAAGAAAAAAGAATTTACTTCGTTCCATGGTGATTCGCGAAGAGAACTGACCGATGGCTGACCAACGACGCGTGTTAACAATAATTCATAATCTTGCAAAGAACAGTCACCGTGGCGAAGCCGTTCGAGTAATTCACGGTATCGTTCATCTTCTGTTCGCATCTGTGTACTAAGTTTGATCACACAGTTAATTTGAAGTATCAGGGAACGTGCAGCGCGTTGTTGAATTTCTTTTTCACTACGTGATTGACCTGATCTGTTTTTAGAGGGCTGTGAAAAGTCAGTGTACAACGGTGTATCATATACTGGTCGATACTGTAAATAATCACCAAAAAATATGACGTTTATGCCACCAAATGGAATTTGAGGATCGGCATGTTTGGCAGCGGAAAGAATTCGATTGAGTTTTGCAAGTAGAGTTAAACCAACCATACTCATCTCATCAATTAGGAGATATTCAACCAGTCTCCATTGGTTTTCAAGTTTTGTATCACCTGGTTTGATGGTGCGCGGCTTTCCTGAATTACGTTGTTCACCTAAAAATGAATGGATTGTCATGCCGCCAATTTCAGCAGCAGCGATTCCGGTGGGTGCGAGGTTTCGCATCATCTGCATTCTTTTTGTAATAAGAAAGTATTTGGCGACAGCACGAATCAGTTGTGATTTACCTGTATCGCCGCATCCAGGTATGCACATTATCAGCTGACTATTGTTGGTACCTATATATATATATATATATATGTTATTTTGATTTATTATTATACGTATAGATCATTAAAATACCTTTATGACGTTCTTTGTCACCATCAAGATGATTGGTTATTACCATAAATGCAGCTTGTTGTTCTTTATTCAATGTATATTCTTCAATAATACTTTGCTGAGTAGAATAGCTTGTGGTAATGACTGACGCAACTGGAAGAATTTGAGTGTAATTATCAAATATATCTATGTTATAATTATTTGAATTGACCATAGTTACAAGTGCATCCTGTATACTATCATAATCTAATGTATCGTTCGTTTTGTCGTATTTGCCCGTAATTAAACTTCGTCTAACTCTTTCTTTCTCAGTCTTTAGTTGTTCTTGCCATTTTGTATTGAGTCGAACGAGAGTAGGTGTAGCTGAAACGAACGGCACAATTTGTTGATCCATACCACCAACAGCTTCATTAAAAAGATGACGAGTATGTGCTATAATAAACTCTTATCGTTATTTTCTATCTTATTGGCAATATATTAATATAATACTTACATTGTATATCAGAAAATCGTCCAACGTTTTCAACCACTTGAATAGTTTCTTCAATGTATTTGCTTTCTGTTGACTTTTTGATGGAATTCATCGCAGTCGTAGTATATTCATCTAAACTACCGAGTAACTCAAGTAAATCTTCACTGTCGTCGACTCCATCGTCACCATAAATATCTTGATTTGCTGGTAAAAATACAGGATCAATCACATCATCATCAGTTTGAGCTTCGGCAATAACTTGAAGTAAATGTTCATCACGATCCTTTTTGCATTCGTGTAAAAGTTGAATATTTTCTATGATTGTCATAGAATGTGTAGATATAAGATGCTGTCGAGATTTAAATGCATCTTCCCATGTCTGCTCGATGGCACAAAGATCAGCTACGGAACGCCAGGGCACAAAAAGTGTTAGAAGAGCTCGACAGTACCGTTCTCGTGTGTCATCACGATCTTGTTGAGGAATTTGAGGACCGTAACGAATAGGTACACGAGATTGAGTATATTTCATCGTTACATATGTTGTCGCCTGTGGATGCTGTTTCTGAAAAGCATAGCGTTCATTTGGACGTCGACCTTTTCGATTATCGTTTTGTTTTTTAGGTACTACAATGTTCGATAAGTAATTCAAATCTGCTGCATTCATCTTCTTCTTCTATAAGATACTGACAAAATCATATAGACATATGTTGTTCAGAATTTCTGACCGATATTGATAATCAATTCGTGTATTAACAAGCACATGTTTTTCATCATTTTCGGATGCCTGAATTTGGAACTGTTCTTTATCATTATTTTGATCGTCAATAGCTTCATCGTCACATATACAATCGTCGATGACATCTACGTATGATAAACAATAGATTTGTTTTATTTAATTTAATGATAACAACACGATTCAACCGCTCTATTATATCTTCCTTCAGCATGCTCAAAAATTACGACATTGAAAACGGTTTCTTGCTAAGAAATAGATAATCTGTTACCACTATATTGCAAAAATGACAGTACTACATGGATTATAGTACTTTTGATCAATCAAACAGTCAATAATTTTATTTTCAGGTAAGTTTTTGGTTAAACAATATACTTTATCATGGTCATATATAAATGCTTTAAGACATGAATTCAAATATTAATATACTTACCATGCACCGTAAATGTCGACTTCTGTTTGGTACGTATTTCGTTCAATTCACTTTGTAAAAACAGTTCAGTTTGAATTAGATAGAGGCCTTGAAATTTGTGCGTTGTATAATGATCCTCCCAGTTCATAAGATAAGAAGCAACTTGAGCTCCGGATAGCTCTTGTTGAGAAGCAAGTGTATTGTAACACCGTAAGACGAGCTTACGTGATTTCTCGATTGGACTTTCGTTTTCTGACTGATGAAATGAATTATTCATCGACGTAATGCCTTTTTGTACAAGAGCAAATGTATCATGAAAAGATAGACTCATTTTTGTGACATAATCGGTGATATAATATACAAGAGCCTTGGCATCACTACCAGTCCAAATAAATTTAATATCCATATTGGAACGACATGCCGATATAATATATTCATTCAAATTATTTATCATTGGATGCGATCGTCGCATAGAAATATGACCAGTCTCTGGATCAATTGTCGAAACTGCTACTAATTTGCGTGGCATACGCATTCGACAAATTTTCTTTAGACCTTTATTAATATTGCAGTACTTGTAGCATGTGTCAGTATGATTATGAATGTTGCTTGCTTCGACGACTCGTACTACATCTGCTCGAAATCGTGATGCAAAATTTGGTGACGATGGATTTGGAGTAGGTAAGCAAGCTGGAATTACGTTTGATTGTTTATGTAAAACATTATCGACTAAAATATCAATCAATGCATTTTTTCTTTTTTTTAGTTACAATAGTTTACCGGATTTCGATCGACCATGTGTAGGTGTTTGTAAAGATGTATGTCGTGATGAAGAACCATTAGATGTTGATGGAGAACCATGAAGATTTGGTGGAGAAGCATAGGGAATTGATGGAGAACCATAAAGATTTGGTGGAGAAGCATAAGAAATTGATGGAGAACCATGAAGATTTGGTGGAGAGCCATAAAGATTTGGTGGAGAAGCATAAGGAATTGATGGAGAAGATCGTTCTTTCGTCGGTGTCGATTGAATACCATGTTCATTTGTATTTTCTTCTAAACCTGCCAAATCAATAGTACGTAAAGCTGCATAAATGTTATCTCTTGATAATTGCGTTGCAGTATTGAATGACCTTGATGCTGTAATATAAGAATAGAATGTGATATTCGAATTAAAAAAGAATCTTATATACCATCTGAATTCTCGAAGACATATTTGTCTTTGAATTCATCTAGATCTTCTTTGATAATATCTTCTAGATACGCTGTCAACTTCTCACGAAAAGTAGAATTTTGAACTTGTTCTTTCATATCAGCCGGTTTCATGTCATGATCAAGCCAAATAATAAGATGTAGATGAAGAGAACCTCGTCCTTGACTTTCAACAGTACCGAAATAAGCTTTTATTGGCCCAAGAACACCGTCAACAATTATAGTCTCTAAGATATTGGTGATTAATAAATGAAAAAATTTGGCGGTAGCTACAGGATGAGATGCTATTATTTCAGCTCTTTTGTAAGTATTGAGCAATTGTTCCATTTGAATGTTGTCCAAATCAAGCTTGACACCCTCAAAATATAGTGCGATGGGACTATGAATATCGGCTGGATTTAATGTCATAAAGATGTTAGGTAGACATTGATTATATATTAACGAATGAATGCGAGTTCGTAAGGCCGTGCGTGAATATGCTGAGGCCATAACTCGACCACCGATGGTTTTAATATGATTTAATAATTTGTTTAATGCACTGTTTGATTCTGAGTTATATGTTTTTTTGGAAATATTCTCGAGAGCGGTTTCGATGTCTTTACTGTTTAAAGTCCGGATATCCTGGGCTGATTCTCGAAAGTAAGGTTTCGTTGTGATCAATTGAGCATGAAAACAAGCATTACATCGTTGCAATATATTGAAGACCACAAATATAAAGCTGTGATTCGTTTCAAAACGTCGATCATTGTAGGATAATAGGTAGCGTATATGTTCTCGTAAATTCGTTTTAACAGGACGTGATTGATCGTCAGGCGCACCACGTCCATAACAGAACAGAGTAGGATACAAACCCACCAATAATTTTGGATTATAATACTCATTAACAGGTTTTGAAGAATGAGGAATTAAATGAACTCTTTCACTGTTCATTTGTTGGTGTGTTTTGTTATTTTTCATTTTTTGCAAAACATAATTTGCAATTTCATCTGAAGACACCAAAGAGCCATTGACGTCGAGAACACTACTAAAAATGACAAGATTTAAAATATTACTCTTTTAAATTAAATATTTGTTCTTACCTGTTCTGTATGGGAATAGTATCTGAGCTTGTGTAATCAGTTAAATTAGATAGTGGATCAGGAACATAGCCAACTCTTTCAGACTGAATTTCTTCATCACTTATCTTTTGCTCCATTGTTGACATAATAGATTCTGGTATGTCGTCTTCAGGTAGTTGAGCAATATTCTCAAGATTTATCTCAATATTCTGATAGAGAATATTATATTTCTTCAACCATTGCAAAGCCTGAATAACTTTTTTCTTTCGCACTGTTAAAATTTCTCTAAGATGAATACGTTGAGGAGGAAGAGAGCCAACAAAAATGACTTTTATCGTATCACATAGATCATTGAGTTTAAGTGGTAGACTGTTGACAATGTCCGGTACATTTTGCAGAAAAGTAATACAGTTGCCTTTTAAAGCTGTTTGTGAAGTTGTAGCTGAATGAAAAGGTGATTGAAGTTTTATTATACAACTATTGTGACGATAAAGTGATATTAGCTTTTCTTCTGGAATTGTTAGGCCTTGTAATTCAGCAGGAATGTCGCCAAACCACATACCATTGGCAACAGAAAATTTAGGAATGTGTTTTTTCGATAAAGCATCATGGCATTTTTGACAGAGTGTGCACATATTCTTCTTGTTCTGTTGAAATAAGCCACTAGTATATAAAATAATATTGTTTTCACAATAAAACGATGGTGATTTGGAAGCTGAAGTAAGGAAAGCTTATTGAAGAAATATTCAATTACAAATAAATGTATATTACTTTGAGCATGATCAGTCGTTTGTATACCATCAGTATTAACAGCAGTTACGGTGCCTTCATTTATGTACTGTAAATTCGATAACTGGGAGCCCATGATCAGAGCTTTAGTTTCGTCTGAAACTTTGAGTAATTCATTCTGGTGATTTTTGAGACAGGTATTGATTTCAACTTTTGCATGGGACTTCGAATGTTGCAAACTACACACGTAGTTTCGGCTAGTGCTGACATGAACATTCGATGAAGAAATTTTTTGAGACATCCTTCTTTCAAATCACGAGAAATTGGTTCAGGCCAAGAAGAAGTCGAATTTCTAATTTTCGGTAAGATATTTGAATTTGATGTAGAATGAGATGTATTAATACCATCTTGTAATGTGACTTCTTCCGCTCCAGCAGATTGCATCTGAGTAGTTTGTTGTTGAATACTAATATTATCGGACATGCGTTTTTCATTTTTCTTTTTTTCTCTGTTTGCCTGACTTCGTTTTCTTTGCTGTTCGAGTCGATTAAGACGGTGTTCTTCTGTTTGATTCTTTCGACTAGTTTGACTGCGGTGCCTCTCTCCCCTCAGTCGATTTTGGCGCTCTTCTTCGGTTGCGTTCAGTCGACTTGATCGAACTCGTTCTCTTTTGTTTTCAAGACGAATTTGACGTTGTTCTTCTTTATCATTCTGATCGTACAACATTGTATCAGACATGATCGATTGAGAAGAATCAGTGTCTATGTTAATTTCACTTCGTAAACGTCTGCTAGGAGATGATTGAAACTCAGGAATTCGTATCTGGATAGCAGCATTGTTTTTAAATGTTTTCTTTTCAGGAGTCTAAATAAATCTTAAGATTTATGAATTCTAGTTCATAAATAAAAAACTTACCGCAAGAACTGACGCTAATTGGTTATTATTATCACGCTCATGTTGAATCAATCGTGACATAAGTGGAACAAAATGATTGGGGCTCCATGTTGAATTATTTTTAATTCTTACCTCGTTTTCGTTCAAGGTATGTGACCACAATATTGTAATTTCGCAATTAGCAATAGTAGGTAGAAGAGGCATAAACGTGTTATTCACGATGGCTGTATGATCTCGAAGATCAATTTTTGGATAAATACTCCGTATGTTACATTTAAGTATATTGCATAATGCAGTAATTTCATACAATTCCGAAAATGTGGACTTTCTGCACATAGCTTGAATTGCAA